CCCCAAAACCCCAAAACCCCAAAACCCCTTGGATAAGCTTTAGATTGAGTGATGCTTATTATAATTTAATTGATAGCTTAATGAATAATTTAGTGAGAAATAAGCACAAACTTTTTGGCGAAATGTCCAAAGTGCAGAGAATCAAGTCAAAAGGATTCGAGCTCAGTAAGTATTACAATGCTTAAAATTTTTCTAGTGACAGAATTTTCACCGAAATAAGGAGGATATCAAGATACTTTATGAAAAGTATGTCGAAGAGGCTATGTATCAAGACGTTGATCCAGCCGCAGAGTTCAACGGAGAAGTGCCTCCTATTCTTGATATCGACGAATATACTGATAAATTGGATAAATTTGAGATCAAGGAATTACTGAAAATTGGACCATACCTGATTACCTTGAATACCAATAAGATAGCCCATGTTTACAATCGCTATGAGCAGAAATTAGTAGGAATTCTTAATGCAGACTTGTTATGGGACATCAAGACCCTCATGTATAATGCAGTCAGAAAGTCGATCATCGTTATTTATGTAAAGAGACAGCCAGAAGGGAGCACATCAATCAGAAGGAAAGCTATCCAATGATGAGAAATTAGTATTGAAAATTTTGGACACCTCTGTGACTCTAAGAAGTTCAAAGACATTTTTACTAGCGAAGAGATTCTATACCCAGGATATATAGAATTTGATGAGCCTACTTCGATGGCTGTGACAAAGACTTCAGAACCTTCCTCCTTAAAGATCTGGTCACTAAAATAACTATAAGTTGATGTATTCTCTCCCTCCTGATGAGGCTACTTATGCATTTGAAGTGAGATTTGCCAAAGGGTTAGTAATCTTAATCAAGAAGGTGAATGATGAGAGTGTTTCCTTTGATGTTGTTGATCCATCAACTGGAATTCTATTAAAATAGTTTTTCAGTAGTATATAATCCAGAGCATTCACTGTCATGCATTGAGTTCTTTGACCCTTTCATAATCTTCAAGCAAGAAGACTCTGAAGTGAGGCTAATCGATGTTGTCGAAGATGCTGAAACAACTTGACCGAATACACAAGAATTTGAACCAGAATCTTTTGTATTTCTTCCAAATTACCAGATCATGGCGATGTACAAAGATAAGATAGAGATCAGGAAGCATTCGCTAGACCTAATGAAGAGCATTTCTGTTAGGAGAATCAACTATTTTTCAAACAATAATAACTCTGCTTGAAATATCTTTATCGATCAAGAGAACAACTTAGTGTTTAATGTACAAAAGAAAGTAATTTTAGCAAGGGAGCCAAGAAGACCAGAAATGAGTAGGGATATTCTGGCTCCTCTAGATGAAAATACTTCGAGCAGAGTCTGTAGAAGAATCAGGAAAGTTGCTAGCAAATCTAGAGAGAGAAAGCCTCCAAAAGTAAGAGACGCTCAGCTTACATATCCTGCTGTCCTGACTATTCATGATATATGTCCTCAAGATGAAAATAAGTGTAATGAAGTTGACTGAGAGCTCTTTATCAACTCAAAGATGGAAGACAAGTTGAGCATTGAAGATATAAAAGCGGATATAACTTGTATCCACTTCGATAATAATGAGAAATCTTTGTACATAGCTACTAAGAGAGGACATGTTTATAAATTTCAGTAAATTTTAGATTCAATCTTGATATCTCGCTACGGGGTTTTGGGGTTTTGGGGTTTTGGGGTTTTGGGGTTTTGGGGTTTTGGGGTTTTGGGG